ATTTTTATAATATTTTCTACATCAGCTGTTTGCCAAGAGGATTATGGTACAATTAAGTTTGTTAATGATCAGTTGAATGTTGCTTCTTTATTTGGAAAATGTTTAACTGTCAAGTAATAACCAATGCCTGTTATTAAGAAAGTGTATATTGGAATCTCTGAACGATTTTCCACTCAGTGACATTGTCAGACTCATTCCCCACCTTCACTTCCTTCTCTTCTCCGCCTCTCCTTTATCTCTCATATTCCTCTTTTCCCCCCTTCTTCTTTTCCTCTCCTTTGTTGCCCCCCCTTCTTCTTTTTCCTCTCCTTTGCCCCCCCCCCTTCTTTTCTCTCCTTTGTTGCCCCCCCCTCCTCTCCTTTTTCTTCTTTTCCTCCTTTGTTGCCCCCCCTTCTTCTTTTCCTCTCCTTTGTTGCCCCCCTTCTTCTTTTCCTCTCCTTTGTTGCCCCCCCTTCTTCTTTTCCCCTCCTTTGTTGCCCCCCTGTCTTCTTTTCCCTCCTTTGTTGCCCCCCCGTCTTCTTTTTCCTTTGTTTGCCCCCTCCTTTGTTGCCCCCCTTCTTCTTTTCCCTCCTTTGTTGCCCCTCTCTTCCTCTCTTTTGTCCCCCCACCCTTCTCTTCTTCTCCTTTGTCCCCCCACCCTTCTCTTCTTTCTCCTTTGTCCCCCCACCCTTCTCTTCCTCTCCTTTGTCCCCCCCACCCTTCTCTTCCTCCTCCCTTTGTCCCTCCTTTTCTCTTCCTCTCCTTTGTTGCCCTCTTCTGGTGGTGGTTGTTTGTAGGATGTCATGTGTCTCTACCGTTTCAAATTTTTCTTGCCGATGGATAGGAAAGTTTCAATGGGACTTTTTCTTGCTTGATGGTTTATCCACTGCGTCATTTGTGATGCAGTTATCTTTTTGAAATTATGTTCATATTAAAACTAAAATAAGGAAGTCGTTAAATCATTAATTCCTGGAATTCATCTCAGATAATTTAAATGTTTTTTAAGGATTTGGTTATTGTTGTGTGTTGATGTTTTATTTGATGCAAGAATTCTGATATTGTTTTTTTTTTCTTTTGTATATTTTTAGGTCGAAAGGAATTAGCAATAGAATATTACAAAAAAGGTATCAGTGAATTGGACAAAGGAATAGCTGTCGATGTCAATGGGCAAGGTAAATCGCTTTCTGTTTCACCTTTTTTTTTTCATTTGTTTAATACAAATATTTTTTTTACAAAAATCTTTCTCAATCTGCATGGTGTTTCTTGAAATATTTTTCTGCTTAATAAATGAAAATTAATTTTATTTATTACTTTTAATGTAATTATACAGATTGAAAAATTATTTTCTAGAAAGATTTTGTTTTTTTTTTTTTTTTTTTTTTTTAAAAAGATTTAGAATAGACATTCTTTTTTTTTTTTGTATTGTTTTTGTTTTGTCTTTGTTTCATTTTGTTTTTGTTTCATTTCGTTTTGTTTTATTTCGTTTTGTTTTGTCTTGTGTTTTTTTCATTTCTCTTTTTGCGTTTTTTTTCATTTCTTTTTTTGTTTTTTTTCATTTTATTCAAAAAAACAAGACGTTACTTGGTTTCAGTGAGAAAATAAAAGTATGAAGGAAGATAGAAATGTTTAATGGCTTTCAGTAAAATGGAAAGTTATCAATTTCAATTTATTTTTTCAATTGTACCCCCTTACTTCTTAAAATAACGGCCAGCATTCATATTTATGATTGTTATTGCAATGTTTTGTTAAGCTAAAGTATTTAATGATGCGATAGGGGTATTTCTATGGATATTTTATTGTTGAAAAACTCGCCATGAACTTATTCAATCATTAATTGAAGAATTAAGATTAATCAAATAGGAAAGTTGAAATTTTCACAGGTCTTTCTATTAAAAAATATATACTTCTGTCTGTTACAGGACCCTATGAGGATTAAGTTCCTTAAAAAGATTAGCTTGTTAACCATTATCCTACGTGTGGATCCTAATCAAGTGGATCATCGAGCAGACCCTGAATTTTCATCTATTGCAATGAACAGGTGTACTTTTAAGGGGCCTCTTGAATACCTATTGGGGCTTAACCCTTTAACATTCAACATGCACAAACCCGCCCCATAAATATTCTCTCAATGCCCAACCTGCCCCTGTAAATATCATCTCTCCATGCTCGACCCGCCCCCATAAATATAAGCTCTCAATGCTCGACTTGCCTATGTATAATCTCTCAATCGCTAAATCTGATGGCAAAATAACCAGTAAGAACCCGACTCCTCATGCTTGGCTTTAATCTTAGAAGAGCCAGATTGGGCTGAAAATGGACTACTACTGCCGTATCTGAACTGGAGCTGCACAGTTTAAATATCCTTGTGGGTGATGAACTATTTTCCATTCTACAATCCATTTTCCCTCAGACAAAACATTGCAAGTGTTGTGCTATTCTATTGCTATTTCCGTGTCAAATGTTCTGACAAGCTACATTCCTTCGTTCCGCCAGTTCAGGCCTTCACATCTAAGACCCACCATGCCACATATACTTCAGTGAACCTGACTTCTGGCCACATTAGGTATTCTGCTGTCATTCATGCAACATGACAAACCTAGCGAATAATATATTTATATAGGAATGGGAGGATAAAAAAATCTACAATAAATAGTGCTCAATGTTATGAAGCAGACCTATAAGTATATATTTGTGAATATGCATAATATCCAATATCAACACACACACATATATATATATATATATATATATAAATTTTATAAGAGATTATAATAACATATTGAAATCACTACACAAAAGCATTCATATTTCAATACTATGATTGTACTTTTTCAGGCAATTCTCAGTAACTTTAAAAATAAAGTGTTACCACTTTTCTGAAAGTTAGAGTGGAGGAAACATAAGGTCAGAATTAAAAGCATACTTGTAGGTATGTCTTGATTAACCAATTAAATGTCAGATCTATGCTAAATAGAAAAGTGAGCTCAGAGGGTGGATGTGGGTGAGTTATTTTTTCATGCCATAATAAACTAAAATTGACAATTACAGAAAATATGTAAGCAACAAATGTATCATGATTGTAGAGAAATTTGACATGTTTAGTTTTTTGAAATGGGGTTGAAGGGAGGGGTAGGATAATCAGATGTAAAGTTAACTGAAAAAATTAAAAAAAAAAATTTTAGAATTGGGAAGTTTCTTAAAGAGACCTGTAGGTAAAATTAATAATGTTCAACATCTATATAAGATTGTAATAATACTAACTGAATGGCAATACATAGCAATATTAAAGCTGAATAAACAAAATAAGGTAATTACCCATAGAGGGTGGACCATTATATACTAATAAATTAAGGTTATAAGAAATGATAATACATAATTTTTAAAATTTAACTATATTTTAAAGTAAAAGATAAACTGTGTAGGCAATTTACAGTTAATTCACTCCTTTGGCCTATAGGGATTTTTTGTTAGTAAATTTGATAATTTCTAATTTTTCATGTAAACATAAGAAGCAAAATTCATTTAAAGATTTACAGGTTCTCGCGTTTTTTAGTATTTTCCATTTTACCGTAGGGGTTTTATTAACTTCTTTTAAGTTCCAAAAATATTTAGAAAGGGACATTCTATTTCTGTAGGCGTTATTGGTGAAAGATAATATATGTTGGTACCACTTAATTTAAAATGAATTCTTGGTACTCCCGATATAAAACTTTTAAACTGTTGGATTTTCTATAGTATAAATAGTGCTTAGGTTAACAAGAGTCAGTTTGACATTTGTTTTGCAATGGACATTAGTTAGAATTTCTACAATTACACTTGTTGGTATTATCAACATTTGTTGCTTTGGAATGGCTATTATTACTCAGGTTTTTGTATTGGTTTAAAATTTTGTTTTTTAATAATTTTTTTCAAGATAATTGGTACAGCTATAGCTTAGTTTTAGTGTATTGCTGTTAAAAATCATACTAAGATTATTTCTGGCGAAGTGTTTCTCAATTAAATGGAGAAACTTTTGCTTTAACTTAGTACTAAACATTTGGTTAAATGGGGTGTTTGCCAAATGATTTTTCTGTATCTATTTTTATTCCTACTATGGCTGTTATGTTTTATATATTTGATGTCAGGGCACTTATAGCCACTATTTTTTTAAGGCAGTGTTATAAACTTTACTATGCTTGTAAAAGACCTCTTCACTGGAAGAGTTATTGCTAATCCAACATTCTATGGAAGAGGGTATGTGTTTGATTACTGATGGAAGGTGGTTAGAATTTGGGTGGATATATATTGGATTGGCATTTGTTTTTATGTAGGGTTGGGATACATTATTAACTAGGTCTAATGTAACATCAAGGATAATCTACTTTTTTAAATTAGTGTTGATCTTAACTTCAAGGCTAAAACTTTTAAATTCTCTGCATTAATTTCCTGATTTTGTCAGTGTTAATTTTTGGAATTTTTCACTAACATGAGGCCATCATCTCTATATAAGCCTATATTCTTATCATAGACAGTAAGATTATATAAGATAAATAAACTAGCAAGGTCAGAAGACTCAGCAGAATCTAACAATTCCATGGAAATATCAAATTGATCAACAGAATTGTTATTGATCCATTGTTCTTTGTTTGGATGAGAACAGATCTTCTACAGTTCATAATAATGTCAGGCTCCTGGAAAGATCTGAGTTCTCCCTGGTAAATTCCAATACCAAAATAAAAAGATCCCTGGAAATAGATTTGTAATAATCCACAATATCAAACTGGATAAATGAACACAATCACACAGTACAGATAATAGTTCGTTGGTATTTAATCCAGTTGGATCCTAGTAATAGCAAATATTTAAACTGATCCACAGATAGCTCAATGTCTTTATTATAACAGAGCCTATATATTTTTTTTCTTTTACGGCAAAAACCAAAATTACCTCAGCATAAGTATAGTCTATTTCTGGCTGATTTGAACCCAGCTGTCTTCAGCTCTTATCTGTATTAATATATATATATATATGTGTGGTTTCACATTGAAACACTAGTTTCTGTATGATCTCCGAAGTTAAGCAACATTGAGCCTGGTTGGTACCCAGATGGCTGGCTGCTTGGGAATACCAGGTGTTATAAGACTGGATGTGCAGGTGGTGTAATAGATAATGGCTTGGAATTGTTAATTGGAGATCTAATTCCAGTTGGGTTTATTATATTCACTTATGCACGAATACCCTTGGGAAAGGTATGAACACAACTCTTCTCCCCCCAACTATGGGTTAATTAGTAAGACTTGTATCATTAAACCATTATTATTTCTAAAAAAAAAAAAAAAATTCTTTCAATCTAAAAACATTTTCTGGCTTTAAATAACTCATAAAGGTTGATAAACCGTAGAAAATGAATCAATCCACAGTGAAGTTTGGTATTCCATTAATGTGAAGTAAGTACTGCCTGAACAGCTTCTTCCCATGAACTTTATGGAATTGACTCCCAAGAGGATTCTGCCCTCGACTATTACTATCTTAACCTATTCAAGTCTCAGGTTCATCATTATCTTTCTCACATATCCTCATAAACTGCACCTCTTACTGTTCGTATGACAGACTTCTTCAGTAACCCTCTACCTTTAGTGGCTCTTGGGCCTGGTTAAGGATGAACATTAGTAAAAAAAAAAAATTCAGAAAAATGGTTACAAGCATTTGTGAGGAGTCAAAAAGAAATTGGAATTTATTTTTGTTAAGTCGAGATAAAATAATGTGTATGTGTGTAACTTTGGAGGGGGGGAGATGAAGTGGATAAAATAACTGCTTTTGAGCATTACTGCAAACATCATGTTGAATTTTTTTTCCTCGTGTGGGCAGGTCACAACAAAACAAAAAAAAAAAAAAAAATTGTATTCTGCAAAAAAGTGTAATGGAAGAATTTTGACTTCTTGCTAAATTCTCTATAATTCTTGGGTCCATTACACTTAGAAAAAAAAAAGCCTGTGTCCTCACCACTCCACACCCCCAAAGCACATGCATTGACTCCACCCTTCAAAAGGAGAGGAAAATAAAATGACTTCTTTTGATTTCTTTTACTGTATTTGAAATATTTCAAGTGGTGTTCATTCACTTTGGATGTTAAACAAAAGTTAAGAACTAATTTGGTTTGTTCATTTCCGAATAGTCATTTATAGCACTAAAATCCCAGATATAAAGTCTAGGTTTATCAAAATAATTGGTATTAGTCTTTGTGATTTTAGTATCTCTTTATCTTGTACATATGTCCACTAATATAAGCACTAAAAAAAAAAAATTTAAACAAGAAATAAATAAAACAGGATACACCAATATTTTCAAAAACTCTAGAAAACCCTGGAATATTCAATAAAAATTAGCCTAAAAATAAGTCCTGTCTGTGACACCAGAAATAATATTGTTAGATTATCTTTTTGACACTCAGAGGTGAAAGAGAGAAAAAAAAAAGGGGGGGGGGAAACAAATATTGAGAGGGTGTAAGGAGACAAGAAAATTATGGTCTTTGTTTTTCCTTGGTGCACACTGCTAGTGGAGCAGGCATGTTTACATTGTAACAGCAGCAATAAAACTGGCTCCATCAAGTGACCACAATAGTATTAACTATAAGTGTGTATGAGCAAAAGGTAGTGTGATATACTTAAGATATGTTATGATGAAAGTGTGGATAATTTTTGATTTACCATATATATATATATATATATATATATATATACACACACACGTGTGTTTATGTGTGAAAATTGAAGTAAACACTCAGAGGTGACAGACTATTTCATGCTAAACACAATCATGTGGCCACTTTTATATTTACATAGGCTCTATCTCTGACATTGAGCACTTTATCCTATAAATATACAATACTTTTAAAACTATATTTCTTCATTCATATGAAAAATATATATAAAATCAATAAACTAATTTACTAATTTTATATTTGTTTTAATCTTATATTCATTACCCCCCCCCCCCCGGACTCCAGAGTTTTATCAACAAGCGTGTTTTTTTTGTTGGAAACTGTGCTCTGATGACCTTTTTTTTCTCTGTTGCCTGGACTTTGTGAGTTTAAATGTGTTACTAGATTGGCATCTAGGTCCCACCCTTTTACTATTGAATTAGTTACATGTAACTTCTATTCCAATAGTTTCTTTTCTCACACTTCCCACCTGTGGAACTCCTTTCCATTTCCATGCTTCCTTGATAACTATAATTTTCAAAAATTAAAATGCAATGTCAATCACTATCTTTCTTCTTGAACCCCTTTCAGCTTTTATCCTTTTCTCAGTCACCCCCCCCCCCCTACCCAGTCTTTTTTTTTATTTCCCACCTTCACTCTCTGTAACTTTCTGCATACCAGTGGCACTCCTGCTTTGCTTGGTGAAAAAAAAAAAAAAAAATCATTCTTTTCACTTGTCAGGAGGTTTATGCAATTGACTGCCATTTTTTGCATTTTTCATTACTTTTATATCAAGTTAGAAAATAATTTATACACTATTAGTGTGAGCTTGACTTTTTTTTTTCTTCGTCTGGAATGTTGCAGTTATTTTTTATTTTTCTCATATTCTTGTCTTCTTTTTACATTCTTTCTATCCCTTTTTCTCTTTTCTTATGAGGATTTTTAGGGTACTAGATCATTGTTTTGTTTTTCTTTTTTTTTTTTTTTTCTTTTTTTTTCCACTGAAATTTTAAAAATCAGGGGTACAATCTATCAACTCGACATAGAGAATCTGAAGTAGACAGTGGCATATCAGTAGTCCAGGCAAGTACCCTGGGCTTGAGTATTATTGAGAGCCAGGGAGAAAATTAATATTTCGCAACATTTCTATTTTACACAATTGCTTCTTCCAACAGTATCACATCATACATCAAATAAAAGCACCCGATCTGCAATGCGCGTATTTACCATTTAATATTTGATTTACAACGAAAGCTTATCATTTCAAGTGGTTTTAGGACTGAAACGATTGCTGGTATTCAAATTTTCCTCTAAACTGAGCAACCCCTACACTCGATATGACTCAATTACAGCCAGTTATTTATGTTTTATGAGGTAAAAAAAAAAAAATGGATGCATACATAGAAAGTTGAATTTTGTAGTTTTACCTAAACATACTGCCTTAAAGAATAAACATTATCTATAGAGGAAAAGCGATGAGGGTAAATTGCAACTCTTCCAGTGGCCTAGTCAGAGTCCTGACCTTAACCTAATTGAAAACCTTTGGATGATAATGGACAGGCATGCTCGTAATAGGAAAGTTAACACAGAAGATGAGCTTTTACACGAATTTAAAGAATGCTGGAAAAATCTGGTAAAGAACATTGACTTAATAATTTAGTCTATAGAATGCCACAAAGACTTAAGGGTGTTATTAAAGCAAAAGGTTACCTAACAGAATACTAAATCATTTTTTGACTTGTATAATGTACATATGTACACCTGTATTAATAAATGAATTCTATTACTCATTGTCTTGTAAAAATAAAAAATCAATTTTTTATGGGCTCGTCTATTTTTTTTTTCCTTGTACTGTACGTAAACAAAATTTTGAAATGAAGGTGAATATTTGAAAATATTTAACAAATATTAGTTATATTTACATTAAAAAAAGGGGGCATGTAACTCCCCAGATTATAGTACGATCTGTCTGTGAGTCAACTGCAAATATCAACATTGATAACCCCGGCTAAGAATGCAACCTATCTAATGGTGTGACCTATATATAAATATATACAGGAATTCATTTTTTCAAATATTTTGGGGTTTGCTTAAGTTTGGAAAATATAGGAGCATTCTTTTTTTTTTTTTTTTTTTTTTTTTTTTCTTGCTGAAATATTTTTTATTTGAATTAATGCTTAAATGGCAAAGTGAGTATTTGTTTATGTCTTCACTTAGTCATGATTTCATTTTTCATATTTAGTGGTTAAGTTTTTTTTTTTTTAAGTTTTTTTTTTTTTTTTTTTTTTACCTGGCTTGGTGGTATCTTAGTATTAGGGTATTAATTATGGAAGGTTAGGTTTATAACTGTATAGGCTGTGTATATGTACTAGAATATTTTTGCAATACGCTGACGCATGTTGAAATCGATACAGTATTTAGTGTTGTTGAAGTTTATTGCTAACATTTTTAGTCGAGATTTACAAACTTTACCCTTCGTTCAATTTCGAAAACCAGTCAATGAAATTTGAATAAGCTGATTTGTTTGGAAAAATACTTTGGCAAAAATCCTAGTTTGTGGTTTAATAATTTCTTTAATTTTACAGGACTTCATAGGAAACTTTTTTTTATATTTAGTTACCGTTTACAAACTGTTTTGTTGAAATCCTCATAGTAACTAGTATTAGCACTTAAGTGAATGTAATGGATTCGACTGGAATTCGAACTCGGCTCTGCGATTCCTCAATCCAAGCCGCTATCCATTACTCCACTGTGCCTCCTATACATATATATATAAACCCAGAAGACTGCCCATTAGAAAATAAATGTTGTATTAATTCTGTGGTATACCAATGTACTATTTCATCTACAGAGAGCCCTAGCACTAATATGATATACATTGGGTCCACGAAGAATAATTTTAAAGATAGATGGAGGCAGCATAAGTGCTCTTTAATAATATAAACAAAAAAAATCAGACTTCACTATCAAAATATTTTTGGCACCTGAAGGAAACAAATAAGACACCAAAAGTTAAATGGAAAATTATTGACAAGGCTAGAATATGTAAAGCTTGGGATGACCCATGCCCTTTGTGCCTCCATGAAAAATTGCACATTATTAAACTTCTAAATAATAATAATCTATTAAATTAGACACGAGTTAACGGTTTTCTGTAGGCATCATCAGATTTTTGGTTTGAATTATTAGATAAAAAAAAAAAAAAAATTTATATAACTTGTTTAACAAATAGCCCAATCATCAGTTTCATAGTAGGAATAATTAACTACAAACATGCATACAACATAACACACTTCATAATCCATAGCCCAAGTTAGGAGTTTAAATACCTTACATAAAAGATAACCCTTTATAAAGTCGTCAAAAAACGAGCGTTACGAAAGTTTTTCTTTCTTTCTTTATATGCACAATCCCCTTTCATAAATAAAATAAATAAAT